GTGACGTGTGTGGTTGTGCTGCTGCCGTGGTCCTGCCAGATGCCTCCTGCTGCTGCTGCCATCATTAGTCATTAGTCATACTTCTACTGTTATTATACACATATGACTATTGTCACACATGTATACTGCCAGATATTAATACATACTTTCAACATATTGTACCACAGTAGCCAGAACTATAACTATAATATTATTACTTTCAATAATGTTGTTGTAAGCTACTGTCATTACCTGCATCTCTCTCTCTCTCTGTCTCTCTCTCTCTCTCTCTCTCTCTGTCTCATTGTATCATACGGATTACTGTTAATTTATTATGCTGATCTGTTCTGTACGACATCTATTGCACGTCTGTCCGTCCTGGAAGAGGGATCCCTCCTCAGTTGCTCTTCCTGAGCTTTCTACTGTTTTTTCCTGATCAGCTGTGAGGGTCATAAGGACAGAGGGATGTCGTATGCTGTAAAGCCCTGTGAGGCAAATTGTGATTTGTGATATTGGGCTTTATAAATAAAATTGAATTGAATATTAAGTACTGTTAACATCCTGTATCCATCACACTGGTACCTGCTCCTCTGTTATATTCATGATTTATATGAACACTAAACATCCAGTGACCAAACACACCTGAACTGTTACAGTGGAAACACTGGAGTTCTGAGGGACAGACAGAGACAGACCGAGAGAGAGAGAGGGATGGACAGACAGACAGATGGACAGACAGACAGGTACCTGTGCCTTGATTTGAATTCGTGTGCTGCTGCTGATCTTCTGGATCTCCTCCGTGAACTCCAGCTCAGACCTGAGCAGGGACAGTTTCTCCTCCACCCGTCCAGATGCCTCCTTCATCTGCAGGAGGAGGGACAGGTCAGTTTGAGGGCGAAGCTCTGAGTCTGTAATCAGTCTGAGTCTCTGTTAAAGTTCAGACCTGCTGTAAACTCTGAGACTCAAACAGCTCCAGCTCAGAGAAGATGGACTCCTCTGTCACCCTCATCTGTCTGGTCTCCTCCTTCAGCCTCCTCTGGAACTGCTTCACCTCCTGAGGAGCAAAGTCTCCTCCTTCACTGAACAGCCTGAGGGAGGACAGATGTCAGGTGACTCCTGTTAGGTGACTCCTGCAGGTGACTCCTGTCAGGTGACTCTTTCAGGTGACTCCTGCAGGTGACTCCTGTCAGGTGACTCCTGCAGGTGTTCCAGCTGTTACCTGAAGGAGGTGAGGAGGTGTGTCGTTTTGTTTCTGACCTCCTGCAGTCTGAGCTGGACGCTCCGTCTGAAGTATGTCTGAATCTGCTGGGTGTCTTTAATATGTTGATCCAGACAGTCTTGCAGGGCAGAGCTAATAGCCTCCAGCCTACAGAGACAGACAAACAGACAGACAGGGTGTAGTAACACAGTGTAAACAGATTGTCAGCTGACCATGGATCAGTCGTTACCATTGACGGCTGTCAGCTGACTGGTTATCCTCCTCCATGTTGGATAGACTGACAGTGAACTCCTGGTTCCTCCTGCTGATGGAGGTCTGCAGCTCTTGCAGCTCCTCCCTGCAGGAGTCCAACACAGCTGACACCTCCTCACAGTGAGTGTCCACCTGCTGTCTGTGGAGCTGCAGCTCAGCTAACACACACACACACAGACACAGATACAGACACACACCGTCATGTGTTATTGTACGATGTGATTGGTACCGTTTGTATTGTCACCATGGTGACAGTAGTTTTAAATCCACACTGACTGTGACCATCTCTGTTCTCAGAAGCAGCTGTCTGTCAGCAGGAGCTCCTGCAGAGCTGAGAGGACAAAAAAAACAGACAAACTGTCTTCACCAGGCTGACTGACAAGACAGACAAACTGTCTTCACCAGGCTGACTGACAAGACAGACAAACTGTCTTCACCAGGCTGACTGACAACACACAGACAAACTGTCTTCACCAGGCTGACTGACAACAAACAGACAAACTGTCTTCACCAGGCTGACTGACAGCAGACAGACAAACTGTCTTCACCAGGCTGACTGACAGCAGACAGACAAACTGTCTTCACCAGGCTGACTGACAGCAGACAGACAAACTGTCTTCACCAGGCTGACTGACAGCAGACAGACAAACTGTCTTCACCAGGCTGACTGACAGCAGACAGACAAACTGTCTTCACCAGGCTGACTGACAGCAGACAGACAAACTGTCTTCACCAGGCTGACTGACAGCAGACAGACAAACTGTCTTCACCAGGCTGACTGACAGCAGACAGACAAACTGTCTTCACCAGGCTGACTGACAGCAGACAGACAAACTGTCTTCACCAGGCTGACTGACAGCAGACAGACAAACTGTCTTCACCAGGCTGACTGACAGCAGACAGACAAACTGTCTTCACCAGGCTGACTGACAGCAGACAGACAAACTGTCTTCACCAGGCTGACTGACAGCAGACAGACAAACTGTCTTCACCAGGCTGACTGACAGCAGACAGACAAACTGTCTTCACCAGGCTGACTGACAGCAGACAGACAAACTGTCTTCACCAGGCTGACTGACAGCAGACAGACAAACTGTCTTCACCAGGCTGACTGACAGCAGACAGACAAACTGTCTTCACCAGGCTGACTGACAGCAGACAGACAAACTGTCTTCACCAGGCTGACTGACAGCAGACAGACAAACTGTCTTCACCAGGCTGACTGACAGCAGACAGACAAACTGTCTTCACCAGGCTGACTGACAGCAGACAGACAAACTGTCTTCACCAGGCTGACTGACAGCAGACAGACAAACTGTCTTCACCAGGCTGACTGACAGCAGACAGACAAACTGTCTTCACCAGGCTGACTGACAGCAGACAGACAAACTGTCTTCACCAGGCTGACTGACAGCAGACAGACAAACTGTCTTCACCAGGCTGACTGACAGCAGACAGACAAACTGTCTTCACCAGGCTGACTGACAGCAGACAGACAAACTGTCTTCACCAGGCTGACTGACAGCAGACAGACAAACTGTCTTCACCAGGCTGACTGACAGCAGACAGACAAACTGTCTTCACCAGGCTGACTGACAGCAGACAGACAAACTGTCTTCACCAGGCTGACTGACAGCAGACAGACAAACTGTCTTCACCAGGCTGACTGACAGCAGACAGACAAACTGTCTTCACCAGGCTGACTGACAGCAGACAGGCAAACTGTCTTCACCAGGCTGACTGACAGCAGACAGGCAAGCTGTCTTCACCAGAGGTAAACTGGTTGATGGGCATTTTAAGTAACTTCCATATTCGAGTAAATGCATTAAATTCTTATAAAGTACTCCAGTACTTTAAAAATAAAAAGTCTGAAGTAAGAACAGGAATGTAAAATGGCCAACAACAGAAAACAAGAGCAGTTTGGAATTCATTTATTGAACCAGGTTTTAATTAGCCCATTAAACCATAAACTGAAGGGTAACATGAGAAAAATCAGCTAACTGTCTGTCGCTGCCGTTAACATTACGCAGGTTAGACGCAGCTCTGAAGGAATGTCACTGAGCTCAGAGTCAGCTTGCCGTCTGCCCATTAGCACGATCTAACATAGCAGCGGCGGCTAATGTCCTACACCAAAGAGTTTAACTTGCCAGTCCTGACAAACTCACACCAACACTGAAACAGCTCAACTGTTGTTAAACTCATTAATAACCTTTAAGTAAAGTTAGCAGTGTGATGCAAACAGTTAGCCCTGTGTGTGTGTGTGTGTGTGTGTGTTACCCAGTCGTTGTTGGTATATGTGGTTCTCGATGTGTTCAGGGTTCAGCTGCTGCAGTTGGACCTCCTGCTCCAAACGCACCACCTCCTTCCTGTCTGTAACCGTGGCAACGCCCCAGCTGAGTACATCATGGAAACGCTGCTCCAGGTGATCAAAGAACAGAGTCCTCATCCTGGACATCACACACACATGGTCAGGACGCTCTTCTGTCGCCATGGTGATGTGTGTGTGTGTGTGTGTGTGTGTGTGTACCTGTTCAGGTTGTCTGTGAGCAGCTCCACAGGAAACAGACTCAGGTGAGTTTTCTGCTGCAGGTTGAGGGTGGGGCATCTGAAGGTGGGGCCACTATAGGTCACACCACTGGGTGATGTAAATGTGACATCACTACTGGTGTCACAGAGATCCAGGAGAGAGGACTCCGCCTGCACAAACACACACACACACACACACACACACACACACACACACACACGTGTTTGTTCTGGACCGATCAGATTTTGGATCGTTGTTGATCGATCATTGATCAATAAATCAATAATCTGTTTTACGTTTTACGATTCATTATCTTGGAAATGTAATGGCATACCACTCACTTTGCTTTTTGTCTCTCTCTCTTTTCTTAGGCTATTCTCTTGTAGTTATCTGTGTACTTATTTCTCCAATGCGCTATTGTGACTTGTTTTAATTGTTGGGTGTTACCTGTATTGTCCTGTCTTTGTTGTAACTGGCCTGTTTTGGGCGGTTATTTGTGAAATGTTTGGCGTATTGTTTTGTAATGTCATCTGTTTACGTTGTTGCATCAGCGCCCCTTAAAAATGAGATGATGCATCTCAAGGGGTTTATCCTTAATAAACTTCGAATAATAATCAAAATTTCACCTCAGTCAGCCAATCCTGAGAGGGCTGGGCGGGGTCAGTGTCATTCTGACATCTGATTGGACGACTCTGTGTCGTCTCCTCTGGTTTCTGTGTTTCAGCTCCGCCACTGGTTTCTACACAAACAGACCAGTTCAGACTGGAACAAACCACTTTAACACCAGGACCAGTTTATCGCTGACCACAGACTGACCTGACTGGGTGGAGAGGGTGGATGATGGGTGGAGCTTCTGCAATTCTTCTGGACTCTGAGGAGGAAGATCAGTTTATTATTGTCCGCTCACTGTTTACTCCAGGAAGAGTCCTTTAACCAGGAAATGAGTTAGCATGTTAGCATGTTAGCACTTTCAGTTCCCTCATCTTGAAGTCAATGTGTTTTTGATTTGTTTGTTTTTGTTTGTCACAGAGTACTAACATCTGTTAGCTCATCAGTGTGGACACATGACTGTACTATAACTGAGAGATGGGGGCTGGTTTGTTGCCATGTTTACCGGTTTGTAGGTGTGGTCGAGGTGGAAGAAAGAGCTGAGGCTGCTGCTGTAGGAGAGGAGCTCCTCCAGGAGGACTGAGGGGAGACGATTCAACACCTCCCACTGATCAGAGACACACTGTCCACAGCTGCGCGCGCACACACACACACACACACACACACACACACACAGAGGAAGTGAAACTCTACACCTTCACATTAAAAGCCTTGTTTCTGTTTCTCCACCTAAAATAAAGTCTGTAGATATTTGAACTGATCTGAGAGCTGAATGTTTGATCCCTGCAGTCACACACAGTGGAGGCTAACTCTACATTAGCATTAGCATTAGCATGTGTCCTGCACTACCTGGATTTGACATCTTGCAGGTAGTGGACAGTTTTGTCCAGAGACCTCTTCAGAGCCTCCTCACTGCCCTCCTGCCGGAGTTGTCTCAGCAGGTCGTCCAGACGCACCTTCTTCCTCTGACAACACAACAGCAAAACATCATGGGAGAGCCGCCAACCAGCTGACACATACCATTTCAGGGGCTCACCTGTGTGTGTTGCTGTGTTCAGACTCACCTGTATGTGTTGCTGCTGTGTGTGTCTGAGGTCGTCCAGGTGTTGTTGTAGGTCTTCCTTCTTCCTCTCTAACCTGTGGTTGTGTGTCTCCCATTGCAACGCTGCTCCATGCATCACAACAAACACACACCTGCTGATACTGAAGGCGTGACGGGCCACAGAGTCACAACACAGCTGCAGACAGACAGACAGACAGACAGACAGACCGACAGACAGACAGGCAGGTCAGGTTACAGCTGTTGAGTCGGTGAAATGTGAATTCTCAGAAAGGTCTGTATGTGACTGACATCTAAAGCAGCCAATCGCTCTTCATCTTGTCTCTGGTGTTGTCCAATCAGAATGAGGAGCTGAGAGCTGACGATGTTGTTCACCTCCTCCTCAGCCAGCTGCAGAGCAGAAAGCGCCTCCTGCAGGAGACCATGATGAAAACAACAATAATAATAATAATCAATACCAACACCTCCTCATGTGACCTGAACTGACACCAGGTCAGATTTTAATATTTGCCTCTCGGACCGTTGTCTTTCAGTCTGTGACTGAAACAGGTCTGTGTTATTTAACCTAATGTGATTTATCATCAGATAACTTCATATTTAACACAAACCCCATATGAATCTTAAAAAAAACAAGCTGCAGCATCTGGCACGTTAAATGGAAACGGACCCCCCTCATGGAGCCAGACCTGCAAGGGGAGCCAGCGAGCATCTGGTGGCCGAGCCTTGATCCGCAGGGCTCAGCCGCCACACCCTGAAAGAACAACACAGAGCTATCACTCACAGGGACGGGTGTTGGGGTAATGTGCAGCGTGAGCTGGGCGGCAGGTGAAGGCGGGGATATAAGCGTGCTGACCCCTGGAATCACAGACTGGCTTTGAGGATGTGAAACATCACCTCTCTGGTGGGGAAAGACTGGGGATATTGTTGAGAGGTGGAAGGAGCACTTTGAGGAACACCTGAACCTGACCAGCACATCCTCTGTGGAGGAGGCAGAGCCTGAAGACTCAGGGAACTCTCATCCAGAGTCTCTCCTGGCCGTGGACCAGTGGACCAGTGGACCAGCTCTTTAATCTTGCAAGGCTGCTAAAGGAGGTAATGGGAGTTTGTCCATCCAGTCATCCTTGTCTCTGATTCTGTTTGTGATATTCATGGACAGGATCCAGTGGCCGAAATGAGTTTCTTTTGTAGGGTGTCTGCCCTCAGGATCCTCCAGGACGAGCTGGGAAGTGTCTCTGAGGAGAGGGATGTCTGGAATACCTTGTTAAGCCTGCTGCTCCTGAGACCCCGATAAGATGATGAGGACGGATGGATGATCTATAACTTACTATGATATAATTTAATCTAGTATATCGAACTTTCATAGATTAAAATATAATGTGTGTTTGTTACCTTACAGCGCTCCACCTCAGCCAGTCGATCCTGCCACTTCTGTTCATAACAGCACCGCAGCTGATGGAGGAAGTCAGTGTGGAGACTGTCTGAACACACGCACACACACACACACACACACACACATTGATGTGAAGAGGCTCCACAGTAAAATAAACAGGTGGATGGAAACACAAACACAGGTGTGTTACCGATCTGTTGATTGACGGCTGTCAGCTGGTTTGACCAATCAGAGACCAGAGCAGTGGAGGGCGGGACCAGAGAGCTGAAACACAGACACTGATTGGATGTCTGAACCAAACAAACTGAACCAATCAGAAGACAGAGTCTCTGTTGTTACCTGATCTTAGAGATGATGTCATCACGTTGTCCTGTCAGGTCTTGCATCACCAGCTGACCTGAGACCAGCTGACCTGAGTCCACCTGACCTGAGACCAGCTGACCTGAGACCAGCTGACCTGAGTCCACCTGACCTGAGACCAGCTGCTGCTCCTCGTCACTGCAGCAGAGCCTCCTACAACAAAAACACAGCTGACACAAACTGCAGTACGACAGTGTTTCTACTCATACTGCTGCATTATCATCGGACCTGTCTATAACCTGGTTCCACCCACCTGAAGCGGTCTATAACCTCGATGACCCGACTCCTCCTCCAGCGGCTCAGACAGTCCTCCCAGTGCAGGTGGAGGAGTGACTCCTGCTGCAGGTTCTCCTCCTGAAGGAGTAGCAGCAGACGAGCCACGCTGCGACGGTTCGCCAGGAGAGACTGATTCAACATCTGGGACGCAGAGAAGAAGTGTGATGGTCAGAGGTCAGGGGTCAGGGGTCAGTAAGGTCATCACCCTGCAGAGCCAGAGAGCAAACGTTTTAAACGTGCTCATGCGTGAGTTTGAGAGGGCGGGGTATCTGTCAATCTTTTTTTAATGTGGCCAATCAGAGGCTCAAAATCCCCTGTCAGTCAAACACTTACAAGGTTTTATTTCGGCCAATCACTTCACAGCAGTGGGAGGAGTCAACATTTCAACTAGCTAGCTATGCTAGCGCTTGTTAGCATCTGTGTATCAACTCCCCGATCATAACAGGAAATAGTAACTTCAACCACTGCTCGTTACAGGAGGCCCACCGTGAGATAACGTGTTATGTGTTTGAATTATTGGACAGTTAACGGACAATGGATCATAGCTGTTTGTTTCTGAGTTTCTAAGTTAGCTACTGCAGCTAGCATGCTAGCTAAGTTAGCTGTAAATTCATCTGTTTTCACTTTTAAATGATTTAAAACGTTGCCGTGTGTTGATACTCTGGCGAGGGTTAATGTTGGAAAGGATGTTTCGGAGGGACGACTCCGTCTGTCTGAGGACAGGGACACAAAACCTCCAGGGACAAAAAAGACCATGTCCATGTCTCCACATCCAGGGGTGTGTGGACACTAGAGGAAAGCCGACAGACCCCGCCCACTGACGTCCCGCCCTCCCTCTGGTTCTTGTAGTGGAGGAGCACATCACAGCCTGGGTCAGCAGGTCTGATGGAGGCTGTTCAGGAGCTCAGAGTCAGGACGCTTGTCTTATTTGCTCTCCGGGGATTTCATGTCCCTGTCCTCAGGACGGACGGTCTTGTCTTCCGGATCATTTCAGCACTAATCCAAGACAGACGGCAGACGGAGATGTTTTCAATCAACATATTAGAGTGTAAACTTTTCAGCGAGCTAACGCTGCAGCCTGAAACAAACATGAATGATCCATCGTCTGTTTGATCATCTGAACACAGAACACGTCTCCTCTCAGAGCTCCTAAAATGATCCTATGTTCTGTCATGATCCAGGATCCAGGAGCTGATCAGGAGACAGTGTTAGCTAACGAGCTAGTGCGCTAGGTAGCAGTAAAGTTTTCTACTTTAACTTTAAACAAACACAAGGCTAACGTTATATTTACAACCATCTTAAATATATATTCAAGGATCAAACTGAGGGTCTGATACTCGCACATGCACGTCTAAAATGGCGGCTTGCCGGCTGTACAGGTGGATGTTTCCCGGGTTCAGAGGTCAAAGGTCAGAGAGTTACCGTGGCCTCGGCATGAACCAGTCTGCAGACGTCAGGTGGAGACAGGAAGTTGATCTTCTGCAGCAGGTGGAGGAACGTCCTGAGCACGAATTTAATCTACAGGACAAATGTAGGAAATAAAGACTCACCTGATAAAGAATGTCTGTAAAATATAAATATAATGTTTTTATTAAATGTAAAGAACCACTGAACTGCAGTTTATCTTCCTCTCTCTGAGGGTTTTAAAAATGTGATTCATGTAAACTTATTTTTAATATTTATCTTTGATCACATGAACTGAATTTGATTTAGTTTGTTGTTATCAGCAGCTTGTTCACCTGTTAAATTAAGTTTGTATAAAATCAGATGATAAATCTAAACTTTATGTTCATGTCCTTCCTGAGGAGGAGCTGCTGCTGTCTGACCTTGGCGGCTCGCTGAGTCTCTGATTCAGTGAGTTTGTGGTTCAGCTCCATGATTCTGATCTTCTTCATCTTCACCTCCTCCTCCACCTCCTCCCAGAGAACACACACCTCCTACACACACACACACAATCACATTGTCAGTCAGGATGTTTATTAAGTTTTTTGCCCCAAAAGATCAATTTAGTTACAAATATTCAAGAGCTTTGATCACAGCTCCTGAAGAGAGTCTGTCATATTGCAGCAGCTCCATCATCATACAAGCTCCCTCAGAGGACACGCCCCCTGTACCTGCACGCTGAGGTGATCCAGGTGTTCCATTCTGTCCTTCAGGTTGTTCAGTCTGAGGTCCACGTCCTGCAGAGAGGACAGCAGCTCCACACTGATGGTCCTCGCCTGAGACTCACACTCCTGAAACACAATATGTAAATTAGTACACACACTGCTCTAACCTGAGCTAACTCAGGTGTAGTTTATACGTACCTGTGACAGGTGTGTGAGTTCTGTCTCCAGCTGTTTCAGAGCTTCTTTGTGTTTTTTGTTTTTTCTCTCCGTCAGTCGTTCGATGATGTCAGAGCTCGGCTGATCGACCACTGAAGGAGAGACAGAGAGGGGGTGGAGCTTCAGCTGTGAGGACTGAAAACATCAGTGAACCTGTGAAACTCCTCACCTGCAGACTGAGACACTGTGATGTGTTCAATGTCTCTACGTAAAGTCTGTACAAATGACCAATGAGACATATTTCAGCCCTCACTCATCTCACAGGAGTCTGATCGTCTGTACAGAGGTCACATCCTGATGGATTCTGGGTAATATTCCAGGTGACGTCTGAGGTCACAGGTCACGTAGTGTCCACTTCAGGATCTGTGACGACATTTATTTATATATGATTATATCAGATACGAACCCACAGAGTCAGGAAGTCTGCTGACATCATCAACGTCATCATCATCATCATCATCCACCTGCTGCCCCCTGCTGGAGGGAGGACACAACAACCTGATGGACAGACGGACAGACGGAGACATGATGTTGAATATGTTATTCATGGATGTACAGTACACGCCAGACAACGGAGTGAGCGTCCCTCTGTCTGTCTGTCTGTCTGTCTGTCTGTCTGTCTGTCTACCTGCTGGTCGTGCTGCAGTGTGTGACGCTGTCCTCCGCAGACAGACAGTCTGTCCTTGTGTCTTTGCGTCCAGCCAGCAGAGATCTGGACAGCTGGACCTACAAAACACACAAACAGGAACACACAGTCAGTGTGAATCACAGCAGCCAATCAGAGCTCAGTACCACAAATCAATCTGAACTGTGGGTCACCACGCCCACCAGTGGGTGGAGCCTGCGCACCAGCTCACAGCTACTGTAACTTAGTCTGGGGCCGTTAGTGGCCGTTTTGGTAAGGAACCGGAACCAGGGCGAGTGAGACAGGATCCGGAATTCGATGGATGCGCCTTTCCGTCAAAATAAAAGCACCAAGCTAATAAAAATGCGGTGAAAAATTTAAAGAATATAATTTACAAGAAAAGCCCCAAGCCATTAAATTGATCGATTTTATTTATTTATTTTTTAAAGATATTTTTTGGGGCATTTTGGCCTTAAATGTATAGGACAGACAAGTGTGAAAGGGAGGGAGAGAGAGAGACATGCAGCAAAGGGCCACAGGCTGGAGTCAAACCCGGGCCACTGCAGCTACAGCCTTGTACATGGGGCGCCTGCTCTACCACTAAGCCACCGACACCCCAAGTTAATTGATTTTCTTACACCCCTCATCACCCCAAAATGATGGTGCACCAGAATTTAAAGCTTTACTTTGGTGAACACTTTTACTTTGATGAATTTGGTGAATTCCGGATCCGCGCTCTAGACCAGAACCAGAATCCAGACAAAATTCAGAGTGAATGGAAACCACGCTCTGCGCCGTACGTGAAGAGCCTGGTGACGCGAGGCTACACAGAGCTCGTTAAAGTTCAGTGGAGAGAACTGATGATGTCATCCAGGTGTTGAAATAACATCACACTGTGACATCACTGCTCCTGCAGGTAACTATCTGTCCACCTGTTTGAGGTCTGAACCTGGAGACGGTCACACTGGGACCTTTAACCTTCACTGAGACACTGACACAAGGTTTAAATGTGAGAACATCAACAAATCAAACACAGTGACAGGAAGTGAAAAGGCTGTGACGTCAGAAACATGTAGAGGTGTAACCTGCTGCAGAGTGACAGGAACTCAATGACCTTTGAACTGTGACCCACCTGAGCGTCAAACAGCTGCCGGTAAACCTTCCCGCTGGGCACCGCTCTGCTCTCACACATACCGGTGATTTAACGGCAGTTAGCCCCACCAGGTCGAACCGGACCCGGGCTGGAGGAGTGTTCCCCGGGCTGGAGGAGTGTTCCCCGGGCTGGAGGTCTGTTCCCCGGGCTGGAGGTCTGTTATTCCTCGTTGAAATTAATCTGTTCGGTGGAAAATGTTTTTCTCTCCGGTCGTCATCGTAAAAAGTCCGTTAAAGTCAGACTGTCGGTTCCTGCTTCTATCAACGGACGTTTGTGTTTCTCCGTCACCATGACAACGAGCGTGCCGAACGCTTTGCAACGTTCAATGTCCGCGAAGAAAATTGTACATCCTGCTACTCTAGAAAAATCACTTTAAACAGCTGCTGAAGAAAAAAAAAACGGAGTCAGAGTTTAACATGACATGTCTTTAATGAGGTGAACTGTCCCTTTAGACCAGGTGTTCACAACCTGTGGGTCGGGACCCCCCCATGGGGCCCCCAGATTTATCTGAAGGGCCACACGTGACTACAGAGAAAAGACAGTAAGGGAGTGTTCTGTACTTATCAGAGGAAGGGGGGCTGAGGTGTGACCCCCTACAACATAAATTAGTTTTAAGATTTTTCATGTTTGAAAGTTAAAAGTTTAAAAAGTCTCAGTTTTTCACTCTTGTCATGTTAACAGACAGATTTTAAATGAGACGTAGAACAAAGTGATTCTGATTTCCTGCCTGAAGTGTTTGTCACACATGATGTGTCCAAGGACCGTTGGAAATCTGAAAGTCTAATGATAATTTCTGTTACAGTTTCTTATTATGATAAATGGTAAAAATAACAATTACCAACATATTTTAAAGAAAAGCAAACGACAGATTTTTACAGATAACATGTCAAAATCTGCACAAAGTTTTACAGAGCAAAAAATTCTGCGAAAAAAAAAAAATCACCAAAAATGTATAAAACAAAACAAAACATAACAAACACCCCAAAAAGCCAAAATCTGCAAAAAAAAAAAAAAAATGTAAGTAGAAAAAAATCACAAAAAATATTTTAAAAAAAAGGAAAAAACATGTTTATTGAGCAACACTGTCAAATATAATATACATCACACATGTTCCAGATGTTACATATTCTTTTCTTTTAAATTCTACAAAAAAGGAAATGATAGTAAAAATAATAATAACAATAACAATAAAATATAAAATAAACCATTCATTTCCTTTAACAGCCAGTTTGTGTACCACTTTCCAGACAACTTTTATCTGCCCACTCATTCAAACACACATCTAAGTGTAAGCACATTTTCCTCTCACAATTGCTGGCCCTCTCATCAACCTAACTCTTCTATGAAACAACATTATTCTGGACCAGTGTTTATAAGACCATTAGCTGCCCAATACCAAATAGGACTAAAAAATGAACAAGCCCAACAGGCTATAAAAAGGTAACAGACTCACCAAAATTAACAGGACAACATCAGCTGTGGATCCCCATCTCATCACCAGTAAGTCACCTGATGTGAAAATTGGTAAAATGTAAGTTTTCCACACTTGCCTATCTCCATTCCTCCCCCACCACTTCAAACCAAGCTGCCCATCGGTCTGTGAATTGTGCATTTTGCAGTCTCAACATAAAAGTTATTTTTTCCATTGTATAAATTCTTTTAACTACTGACTGAAATGCATCTAATGTTGGGGAATCTTTTTTAAGCCAGTTCAGAGTTATTGCTTTCTTGGCTGCTGCAAGTAGTCTATGCAGCAGGTATATCTTTTTCCTGCTAATCCCTGCTTCAGGCATGGCCCCAAGGATGGCCAGCAGTAGATCTCTGGGTAGAGAAAAACAAATATTTTGTCCAATAAGTCTAATATCTCCCTCCAAAAGTTGTCCAACAGGGGGCACTTCCAAAATATATGTGTGTGGTTTAACTCTTCTCCACACTCCCTCCAACATGCACTTGTTTGACTGAGGTCTATTCTGGAAAGGATTAGAGCAGTTCTAAAGAATCTATGGACTATTTTCCACTGGAACTCTCTCCATAGATTTGCATTAGTGACTTTGTGCATGTCTGATGCGATATTATCCCAGACCTCCTCGCTTATTTCTAGTTCGAGCTCTGCTTCCATTTTTGTTTGATACGTATGTAGGGTGTTTTCTTGTTTCATGTTTGATAATATTCTTTCACCTAGGAGTACACTATTTCATTTCTTTTGTACTCAGCACTAAGAGATGACAAATATAAAACATTTGACCTTTGTATACACTAGATTTTGTTCTCCTTACGTGCTCTCTGTTTTGAATCTTTGTCAGGTATTGCTCAGTAGATGAGTCAGATTTTTTAATGTGGTTCCAGACTGGATGTTTAAGCAAATAACTTCTTATCTGAAGATGTCTATAAAAATCCGATCATGGCAGGTCGAATTCATTAATCAGCTGTTCGAATGTTTTCAATTCCTGATCCTCAATGAACTGGTGGATGAAGTCAAGATTTAGATGTCTCCGTCTTTTGTATCCTGCGTCCAATTTTAGGGGTATAAAACCTTTTAGATGAGCAACACCTGACAAAAGTGACACATCACCAGGGAGGCCAAAAGTCCTCTGCACCTCTCTCCATGCTGCCAGTGTAGTGTTAAGCCATCTACCCAGGGTCTCTTCTAGGGCTTTATTTTCAATGAATGGAACATTTGATAAAGGCGTTAGAGTACAGAGTGACTTCTCAATTTCCAACCACCTTGTGTCTCTCTTGTCTAAAATCCAAATTGTCAAAGCCCTTAGCTGACAGGCCAGCCAGTAATGTCTAAGGTGGGGGAGTCCCCACCCTCCATGTTGTTTAGAGAACTGCAGAGTTTTGTATCTGACACGAGGACGCCTTCCCTGTCAGATAAATCTGGAGATGAGGCGGTCTAAAATTGTAAACATGTTTTTTGGTGGTGTGAGGGGCAGCGTTTGGAAAAGAAATACCAACTTAGGTAGCACATTCATCCTAATACTCTATATTCTACCTGAGACAGTGAGGGGCAGCACAGCCCATCTATTAAGATCAGCACATATATTGTCAATTAATTTATTGTAGCTTGGCTTATATAACTAATCCAAATTTTGTGTTATAGTGGTTCCCAGGTGGGAAATGCCATCCTTTGGCCACTTGAACATGAATGCTGCTCTCATCTGGTGTGTAATAAGCGAGTTCAGGGCCAAGGCTTCTGTTTTATTAACACTGACTTTATATCCTGAGAGGGTTCCAAATTTGGCAAAGCAGTCCATCAGCTTTGGAACTGAATTTAGGGGGTCTGATAAATAAACTAAAACGTCATCCGCATAGAGCGAGATTTTATGAATCTAATAAAGTTTGGGCCAAATCTGAATTTATTCAAGGTTTTAAGTAAAAACAGCCAGGATACGCGGTCAAATGCTTTTTCAGTGTCAACTGCTAATACCATGCAGGGGACTGGACAGATATTACTATGCTCCATAACATTAAGTAGTCTGCGAATGTTATCCGGCAAATGCTGTCCGACTATAAAGCCCGTCTGGTCTGGGTGTATTACAGTAGTGATGACTGATTCAACTCGTTTAGCTAGTATAGACGTCAGCAATTTACAGTCTGTATTTAAGAGTGCAATCGGCCTGTAAGAGGCGCAGTCTGTGAGATTGGGTATCACCGAAATGATCACCTCCTTCCAGGGCAACGGCAGCTCTCCTTTCTCAAGAGCACTGGAGTATACTCTCTCCAAGATTAGGCTGATGATATCTATGTAGTTCTTATAAAATTCATTGGTGAATCCATCTGTACCGGGCTCTTGTTGTTTCTAAGGTTTTTAATCGCCTTCTTGTTTGGCCTTTTTCAATTTATTCAGATTTTCAGCCGACGTATTTTCTTGATGTTGTTTTTCAAGGTCATCTACCTTATTTTCCAGTTCTATACGTTTAGCTGTCCTAGCCTTTTTAAAAGTTGAAGCTAATTGGATTATGAAGACAACAGAGTGGAAGCGCTGCTGGGTCCTTCTGTTGGTCACAATACAGGTGCTCTTTGGATACTTCAGGTATTTTGCACTTATTCCTCAGGTGAAGGGCTCATTGCATGGGTCAAACAGTCTCAGTAAAAAATCAAAAAATGCAAGGCTCCTTCAAAAACACACCAAGGCACACTGTAAAGTCTGTAAAGTTAAAATGCCTTTATTTTACATGGCAAAATGAATCAAAAAAGAGTTAAAAAATGACCAACGCGTATCGACCAACATACAGTACAGGCCAAAAGTTTGGACACACCTTCTCATTCAATGCGTTTTCTTTATTTTCATGACTATTTACATTGTAGATTCTCACTGAAGGCATCAAAACTATGAATGAACACATGTGGAGTTATGTACTTAACAAAAAAAGGTGAAATAACTGAAAACATGTTTTATATTCTAGTTTCTTCAAAATAGCCACCCTTTGCTCTGATTACTGCTTTGCACACTCTTGGCATTCTCTCCATGAGCTTCAAGAGGTAGTCACCTGAAATGGTTTTCCAACAGTCTTGAAGGAGTTCCCAGAGGTGTTTAGCACTTGTTGGCCCCTTTGCCTTCACTCTGCGGTCCAGCTCACCCCAAACCATCTGGATTGGGTTCAGGTCCGGTGACTGTGGAGGCCAGGTCATCTGCCGCAGCACTCCATCACTCTCCTTCTTGGTCAAATAGCCCTTACACAGCCTGGAGGTGTGTTTGGGGTCATTGTCCTGTTGAAAAATAAATGATCGTCCAACTAAACGCAAACCGGATGGGATGGCATGTCGCTGCAGGATGCTGTGGTAGCCATGCTGGTTCAGTGTGCCTTCAATTTTGAATAAATCCCCAACAGTGTCACCAGCAAAACACCCCCACACCATCACACCTCCTCCTCCATGCTTCACAGTGGGAACCAGGCATGTGGAATCCATCCGTTCACTTTTTCTGCGTCTCACAAAGACACGGCGGTTGGAACCAAAGATCTCAAATTTGGACTCATCAGACCAAAGCACAGATTTCCACTGGTCTAATGTCCATTCCTTGTGTTTCTTGGCCCAAACAAATCTCTTCTGCTTGTTGCCTCTCCTTAGCAGTGGTTTCCTAGCAGCTATTTGACCATGAAGGCCTGATTGGCGCAGTCTCCTCTTAACAGTTGTTCTAGAGATGGGTCTGCTGCTAGAACTCTGTGTGGCATTCATCTGGTCTCTGATCTGAGCTGCTGTTAACTTGCCATTTCTGAGGCTGGTGACTCGGATGAACTTATCCTCAGAAGCAGAGGTGACTCTTGGTCTTCCTTTCCTGGGTCGGTCCTCATGTGTGCCAGTTTGGTTGTAGCGCTTGATG